CTCCTCATCCTCCACTTCTTACATATACTCTTGCTCCTCTCCATCTCAGATTGTTTCCCTCTATTGTTCGTATCATCATTCAGTCACCTGTGCCACTTGTGCACTCTGAACTGGCTCATATTTTGTACAGTTGGTTTGATCACATCATTAGAAACAAGTGTGAACAATTTTGAATCGTTGTGTGTAAACGATGACAACTGTGCTTTAGTTGTGTTTAACTTTTGCCGCTCGTGTTTATCATTTTGCAGCACAAATGCATCACAGTGTGATAAGTGTTTAAGTGAATAAGAATGTGTTTAGAGTTTTGCAGAAAGAGTGCATGAGATTTGCAAATAGAGCCTAACTGCCTGAACGTGTTTAAAGTTTAGCAGAAAGAGTGCTTTATTCGACAAATTGGTTTAAGCTAGTGAGAATTTGGTTCTCTATACAGGAAAGTAGTCTGTGTATTTGTCAGGTTTGTGTGTCATCTGAGGCCAAAGTTTGAGTCTGACAAAAGAGAATGTGTTTTTGACTAAAATGTTTGACTTTGACCTGGAAGTTTGAAGTTTGCACAAGTTGGTATGTAGTTTTGAGATTGTGTTTATAGTTGTGAGAAAATGGTGAATTGTTTCATGAATTGTGTGTTAGCAATCGAGAAAAACTGTATTAGCCTACAGAGCTCGTCCGTTTTTGTGAATCAGTTCAAACGATTCGTTTAAAAGATTCGGATCAAAAGAACGATTCGTTCACATCGCAAGGCCACCGAGCTGTTACAGATTCGATCAGCACATTTCAAAACACGGAAGCCGAAATGTATTTATTTTCAATTTTTTGTGATACATTGTGAGACAGATGGTGACAATATTACATGTAATGTGATTTATGTGGTTTTAGACACAAAATAACAATCATTAACAAAGTGTAAAGCTTTGAAGATACGAATTCTGAACTTTGAACTTTGACTATCATCATGGCAGAAGTAAAAGCGTGTAAAGTGTGTAACATTAACCGACACAAGTATTACGGACTGGCGGTAACCTCTCTGGATCAGCTCAAAATAAAAGGTGGGTGAATTCAGCCTGAATTGAGTAAATAGCCTTTTTAGATGAAATTCTGAAACAGACTATCTATACTGCACATTTAAAACAGTGGTAATTGAAAATGTTTTACATACAGTAGGCATAATTTAAATTAAAAGACGTAGGCTAAGAGTCAAGTTTTAGATTATTTTAGAACATAAAGATGAGTATAGAAAAATAAGAGTAACAAAAGTTGAATTAATGGATTAAAGTAATAATAATGAATATATATATATATATATATATATATATGGTTTATTAGTAGTAGTAATTTGCTCTGTACCATTGTGCAAGATATGGATAAACTCCTGAATCTTCTTTCTTTTTCACAAATGACACTGAAGGACAGCAATATAATGTAGCACCATCAGATAATAACGGTAAGATGTAATAAACTGTCATCTCTTGATACAAATATTCAAAAATATCTATGGCATGTTCTCAGTGAAGCTAATGTTATATACACACACACACACACACACACACATTTTACATTTAAAAATATTTTTAATAAGTTTTCAGAACAAATTGAGGATTGTTGAATTTCTTGTTTCATCCTATGCTCTATTTGTCATTTTACACATTCTCTTTATTTCTGTCACCCACAGGTGGTGAGGCTCTAGGGTTCAGTCCCAGTGCATCTGTCACAGTGGTGCTAGAAGATGATGGGACCATTGTAGAAGATGAGGCTTACTTTTTGTGTCTGCCAGCAAATACAAAATTCATGCTGTTGCATGCCGATGAAACATGGATGCATTCTCATCAAGGTGAAATCTAACCAGGATATTCCAGGATGTTTTTTTTTATTATTATTTGTTCAGCACACTAACTAATCTAAACTGGTATATTTTGTTAGTTGATGCAGGGACCGCACAGTCTTGCAGAAAGTCCACTGATGTTGAGGTAGATGGAAAAGACAATGTTGATGGCTTTGAATCTTGGCACAGTTTGGCAGAGCAGCTCAGACAGGACCTGGCCAGTATTATCCTCATGTCTGAGGCAGATCTACAGGTCTGTGTGATTCTGGCTTGTTATTTTGCAATATCATTTACATGTATGATTATAGTGTATAAATAGGCAATGTTTTACTGTGATTTTCAGAGAATAATTGTGTAAATGTGTTACAGAGTCTGATTGATGTGCCATGTTCAGATCTGGCTGCAGCGTTGGACTTCTCACAGCAAAAAACCCAGGTCCTACAGGACACTCTGCAAAGAATGCTGGACCGCAGGGAAGAAGAGAGACAGTCCAAAGAGTTACTGAGGCTCTATTTGAAAGCCATGGAGCAAGAAGGCACCTGGGACCCACAAGAACAAAGTAGGGATATGTTTCAGATTCCAGCAATACAAGAAAAATCCCCAAGTAAAGTCATAGCAGTTATTTAAAGGAATAGTTTCATAGTTTTTTTTCTTTCATTGAACACATTTTTGAGAAATGTAGCTTTACATCTCCTACTCATCAATTGATCCTCTTGTAGTGGATGGGTGCCATCAGAATGAAAGTCCAAACAGCTGATAAAAACATCACAGCAATCCACAAGCAATCCACATGACTCCAGTCCATAAATTAATGTCTTGTGAAGGCAAAAGCTATGTGTTTGTAAGAAACAAATTCACCAATAGGGCATTTTAACTTTAAAACCATAGTTTCTTGCCAGAATACCGGCCCATAATCCATAATAACATTTCCAACAGTGAAAAATTCCATCCCCTGTTGTTCTCCCATATCAAAATCCACCGACATATTTGTTTAGAATCATTTTGATCTGTGCATGTTCCTCTCCTGAATTAGACGAGAAGACTTTTTTTTTTAATAGAGAAAGCAGTTTTATGGATAGAACACTCCTATTTTAGCCAAAAACAGTTTGGAGTTAAAAACATCTTAATAATAGATTTTATTACAAACATGCATTTTCAGTTCACAACATGTTAATTGATGGACTGGAGTTGTGTGGCTTACTTGTAAATTATTGTGATGTTTTTATCATTACTCTCATTCTGACGGCACCCATTCACTGCAGAGTATCCATTGGTGAGCTAGTGATGTAATGCTAAAGTTTTGGAAATCTGATAAAAAAAAACTAAAAAAAAAACTAATCTACATCTTGGGTGGCCTGAGGGTGAGTAAATTTTCAGCAAATATTCATTGTTGGGTGAACTATTCCTTTACTGTTGCTTTGACTCTGCTTCCACTAGATGGCATTGCTGAGCCAGTTCTAAATATTGTACCAGTTCATACAAGTTCATTTTATCAGTACTTGGTGGAATGAAGAAAAGTAGGAGCTTGGATGATCAACAGCTTATCTGTTGCTGTGACAGCCCTAATCTTTCCAGTGCTTTCAGGACGTTAACCACTGTCATTGCTGCAGGCGCTAGACTAGATGAGACAGATGGGGTGCAGGTGGAGGCCGCAGCAGGGTTCAGCTCCATAACGCTAATGGTCCTGAAGGACAAAAAATACCCAGAGACCAGACTGTCCAATGAAGAGCTACAGGTATGACATCTTACAGTTTTCTAACACCTCCCACAATTTCTTAAGAATGGTGTAAAAACCAAGCATATTTAACATTAGGGATGTAACGATTAACCTCGAGCCGGTTGAAAATCGATTTAAATATGTGACGATTCAAATCGGTTGAGATGTTAAACAAACCGCGATTCAATTAGGGGTAGGAGTTTATATGAATGCATGTCTGAGGGGAACTTACTGTCTTTCGAAAAGTTTAGTTGGTATTTTTTCTTTTTGTCTTGCCTCTGTATAATGCATATTAAAGTTCATAAGTGCAGCGTGGCTTTGTTTACAGCTGAAACCAAGGAAACACTTTTAAGCGCCACTTGCTGGCTGAGAGTGAATCTGCGTCTCATTCAGCTCGTCTGCGGTTGCTGTTTCGGTTTCATGCAGATATTTTTTATGCATAGTTTCACAAAACTGAAGTCAAACCATTCTGTTTTTGCTTCAAATTTCGAAATTATACAATGTAATTTAGATTAAAAACTGCTCATGTTGCATGTATGCAGCATCTTTGTTTCGATCATGATTAAAATGCAGTGTTAGCCTCTAATTTTAAAGGGAAAGAGCACAGACAAAGCCTTATTTTGTTTATATGAAGATATTTATTTTATTTGTGTTACTTATTTATTTGATTTGGGGCTTGTTTTAAAATTTCAATTTAGTTTTGTTATTTACATTTACATTACATTTAAATTTTGGTATTTAGCAAACGCTTTTATCCAAAGCGACTAACAAATGAGGACAATAGAAGCAATCAAAACCAACAAAAGAGCAATAATTTACAAGTGCTATATTAGTATATTATTATAGTGTTATATTTCAATTTCACAAAAAAATGTACAGTATTTTGTCCAAGAAAAACATTTAATTTATAATTTGTCTTAAATCTCATTTTGTTAACAAAAAATCGTGAATCGAATCGAATCGTGAAATCAAAATCGTGAATCGAATCGAATCGTGAGTTGAGTGAATCGTTACATCCCTATTTAACATTATTTTACACTAGATAGCGGAAGTCAATATGAACATCATTCAAAGCCCATTTTACCTGCATAATACGTCATTTCAAGGTGTTCAACTGGAAAAAATAAGGCAGGACTTGATTTTATTGATTTGTGAGAAGTAGATGTTGCATAGGGTTAATTTTGGCTGAACTTTCAGTCATATGTCAGTAGGGGTCACTCGCTCTTTTCAGTGGAATGAGCACAAGCCACAAGAGTATAATCAGTCTGTTATCAATTTATAAAAATGAAGGGATTTTGAAAACCTAATCCTAATATAACTATATTATATAATACAAAGTAATTATGTAATAAAAACAGGTAAATTTTTGTGTTGGGTTATATTTAAGGGCATATAATTTAGTATTATTGTCTCAAATGGATGCATTTTTATGCAGATGGTGGCGGGGCATGGAGTGGAGGTCATGATGGAGGTGTTGGGCTGGGACAGTGAAAGGACATCAGCGCTGGTCCAGGCATGTGAAAGTGAGCTCAGTAAACGCCTACAGCGAGTTCAAGCCCTGCAATCCCTCAGTGCTCAAAATCAGTCCACTTCACAACCACACACTGAGAGAGAGACCCGAGCCAAACGCCGTAAAACACACACACACTGATAGGTCTTTGCTCTTTATTTTTGGACTGCTTCATTACACCTCATCTAAAAAGAAAAATGAATTTAGACAGTGTTTTTCCCATTTTTGGATAGTCATTATTTTGATAGTATATTGTATAGAAATGCCAAAGCATAATAAAAGTCATGTTTTAAGCAAGGAAAACATACAGACTGGTGCTCCTTTTGATTTATAAAATTCCATGTTTCTTATCTGTTGCCTGTAATTTGACCCATCATTCAGGGGATCGATTGGTGATAATCATATACTACACTCTTAAAAATAAAGGTTCTTTTATTGGCATCAATGGTTCCTTAGATTATTAAAATGTTCTTCACACTAAGAAAAAATGATTCTTTTAAGATATCATTTATCATAATTGATTGTACCAAATACCTGTAATATATCCTGACAGATATGACATTTGAATACCTATTACAAACATTTAATGCTGCTTTATGATATTTCTCAGGGAAGGAATGTGTTACCGTAGTATTGCAAGGTTCACTAAATGTGTCAAATTGGAAATGTTAGCAATTTAGCCCATGGGGTGCATTTTTTTTCACTTGTTGAAACATCGAATGATATACATGATATTGGACTAATAAAACGATTTTGACATTTAATTTTGGGCATTAATATAAACTGAGTTACATAATGAATGGAAAAAATATTTCAGCTTGTCAGAGAGCATTGAGAATGGTAATGTATGTAGATAAAATTTCCATATGCTGATAAACTAATGAAGAGACCTGCTGGTCTGTTCCTTTGCACCATGAATGTCTTGTTAAAACAATCTATTTCCGTGCGGATGTAGTTCTACCTTAGATTGTAATGAGCATGTGTAAGCTTTGATTGGTGTTGGGCGGGTTTGTGAAGCCAGTCTTTGTGCTGTTTTGTGGCTGTGATGTACTATTGATTTGAAAATGTTGAATTCTGACCATTGTTAGACTATATGCCAATGATCAGAATATCACTTCAGCGGGATGTAGAGATGTTCCTGAGGAATTCATTAGACTGGTATTATGTATGCAGTCCCCAGCTGAAGTGTTCTAGTAATGGGTTTCCTGTCTTGAGAGATGATTTTACCCATTTTTCCTCAGTATTGCAACAGTCATGTCTGTATTCTGATCATTTTACCTTATATTTTTGATAAGCGCCCTTTTGGTGTGTGGTAATTATAACAGTAAGTCTGTTGTTCTTTATTATGTGCATGTGAAGTATTAGGAAATAAGCTGCAAGCTGTCTGTGATTGTTGGTATAAAGTCAGTTTGCTGGATCAATGTGTGACACTGCGACCAACCTGTCCTCACATCACTGAGCTCTGACCACCAGAAGCAAGCAAATCAGCTGTGAATTATGTACTCTCTACCAGACAAGCGTGACCACAGCTTCAACCGGGGTCTGTTGTTGCATGATGGATTGGCTGTGTCATGCAGGGCAAAACCACAGTGCATTGATCACTCACTGACTCCTGCTAGCATACTGAGATCTACAGGTTGATGAATGTCTAGAAAAGAACAAATGAGAATATAGAATGAGTTGTTGTAAAAAACATATATACGTGTGTGTGTGTGTATGTATGTATATATATATATATATATATATATTATTATTACAGCCTATATAATACATGGATTTCTAAGGCCTGTAAATATTCATGTCCACCTTCAGGTTGTGGTACACGTCTTTTTGATGTGAAATCTTTCATAATTTCTTACAAAGCAAACACCATTTTTATATTGTTATTAATACTTCAAGATTTCAACTTAAGTTTACATGATTATCTATACATAATTTTTGGGAGACTTATGTTTAAATGTATCAAATATGATACAACTGGCTTTTGGAGAATAGTTATTTATTTATTTGGAAATCTTAATATTACGTTTTGCCTCCAATCAGTTAAAACTGCAGAGCTTTCATAAAGGCATTTAAATAGCTTACTAAAAATATTATTGGGACAACTAATATTTATATGCATTTTATGTATGTCTGTTACTGTTATTAAGATCTCATTAATTTACATTACAAGCTATCGGAATTTCAGCTTATTTTTGGCCATATAAAAAAGACAAAACTATACCAAATTGCATATTTTTCCTTAGGCCTGTTTTTTCCTCTTTGAATGTGAGCTTCATTTTTTATTATATCATACCATATATGGGCCTGATGTATCAAATATGATACAACAAAACAGTTTTTCTTTTGTATTTTGTCTAAAGGTTCAATAAAGTATTACTTTTATTACGATTTTTCTTACTATTGTTTGTCAGGCTTTACAGAGCTAAATATTTTTACAATAGCAACATGAGCAAGAGTATTTTTAATTTTAAAGTATTTTTGAATGGATGACTCACTTATTGTCACCTTCACTGATATTCTCTGCTCCCTCTTTTACAAGCCATGTAAAAATGATCACTTAGTAAAGTGAAAGTACACTTCTAATAAACAAGCGATGCCTGTTCATTCATGTCTTTAGTGCAAAGTTAAAAAGTTTGTTCAAACCCCAAGCAATATTAATACTGATGCTTGTCTTCACCACTGTTGTTTGTGTTTAGTTAGGCATTTAAATGATACATGTTGGTATGAGATGTTGCTCTGAATGCATGCAGCATTTGCAGTAAACTTTCAGTTGTTTATCTATTCATGCTTCAAGTTCGTGTGATAGGACACAAGTTTAAGTAGGCTTGAGAATGATTAGAACTCCACTGGGCCAAAATAGCACTGGAGAGGTAATTATACGGGGCTGGAGAGACCCTATACGGTCCCCGTTGATAGAAGACAACAAGAGTAACTCTGAGATCAGATGCATAATGCATAAGAACCTAATGACTGTAAATCATGATGTCTGAGCTTACTTGACTTTTAAACAAACACCTCTACATTAACACCAGTGGCTTCATGAAAATGAAACAAGTAACTCTGGGTAAGTAACACATTATTTCATTCTTTGACTACAGAAAATAATTATGAATCAATGTAAAATAATTCATAATATAGCATACCCTCTGTTGTCTTTTGTTTTTAGAAAACTACCATAGCTTTCATTAAACTATATTTTATAAAGCAAATTCATTAAGTGACATCTTTCCACTAGAAATTATAGTTCCTGAAAAGTAAACTGACAAATTGCTAACCGAACACTGCATTCAGAACCAGAACTATTCAATTCGATTTTTTTTTAAATGTAACTTACTTTAAATTACATTTTGTGATCAAGTGTTTTACGGTATTTTATTTTTGTATATATTTTATTGCATTTATTAATTAAAGTTTATATTAAATGTTTTACTTCCCCCTCCAAAAAAATCAAAGCAAATAAATTAATAAAAAGATATATATAGATTAAAACAATTAAAAAATGCCAAAAATTGTGTGCCTCTAGTTTATTTATATAGCACATTTAAAATCAGCAAAGGCCAACCAAAATGCTTCACAAAAAAAGATTAATAAAACATCAACAGAAAAAATGGTCTATGACTGTCACATGCAAAGCTGTTATGGTAAAGATAATTTGGTCAATAAGAAACTCATATGAAATCAGAGTCAAACATTTCAACACTGTTCAACCGTTTTTGGACATGATTTCTTCAATCCATGAAAGATAATTGCTCACTTTAGTATAAACCCCATAATACCCAGGCTGGGCACATCCGTGACCCCATGACACAATACCACCTATGAACCAACTTTTACTCTGTGTGTCAAAAAACACATAGGGCCCTCCACTGTCCCCCTGGCAGGAGTCTTTTCCTCCATCAGCAGTCCCAGCACAAATCATGTTCTCTGTCACTACTAGTTTCCCTTTAGCTGTCACTGTGGCGTCATATTTAGCCTTACAGTCCTCAAAATCAGTGACGGGTAGAAGTACGTACTGGAGATTACTGGAATGTAACGCGGGTCTGTTTATATTTGACACACCCCATCCAGACACCTTCCCGACGTCATTAGCCTTCAAAACAAACCGCTCTTCCCTCCCAGGCAAACACACAGGCATGACGGCTTTACTGACAGGTACCTTATGCTCCAGTTTAATCAGAGCAATGTCATGGTTGAAGTTAATATTATCGTGGTGGTACTGAGGGTGAATGAAGATTTTCTGTGGAACGCCAACTATAGCCTCGGTGTCACGTTGTTTGACTATGCCCATCTTCAGCTGCAGGTTGGAAGTATCTGTGTAGCTTTTCAGAACATGAGCAGCAGTGAGGACCCAGTTGTCTGAAACAAGAGAAGCTCCACCGATGAACTGATGGCCCATTCGTAGCAAGACCTGCCAGGGAATCTCGTTCTTTTCTGCATTCTCCCCGCCAATCACCTTGGACAGCTTGATCTCAGGCTGGCCACAAACTGAAACACAGCAAACACCAAATCAGTGTTTACACCTGGTTGCTTTTTTTTTTTTTTTTTTGTATTCTCACACATTGGCCACATCTGCTCATTTTTGAAATGATTGCTATTTTCCACATTTTAGAATAACAGTGAAGCCTACAAACCAATGGTTCTCAACCTTTTTGACAATTTTCAAAGGCCTTATTATGACTTGCCCCAGCTGCTTTACTGGATTTATACAAATTGAATCACAATTTCTGCAAAATAAAATATTTTAGAGCTTGGCACCGCTACAAAAATGCATATTCATTATAAAAATGCTCATGCGTTAAGATTTTAATAATTTACATGACTTTTCCAAATCACACTTTACAATTAGCCTTCCTCATATATCCAGGTTTTCCAAGACTGTGGTGGGAATCCTGGTTCTTCACAGACAAAAATGTAGAAATGAAATGAAATGAAATGAAATGAAGCAATATCTTAATAACACAAATGGAAATACTGAATTGGGTTGTAACAAAAAAAATTAAACAAATCAAAATAATCCTATATTTGAGTCTGAGTCACCCCACTTTAGATCACAGCTCTGCACACTCTCTGGATTTTTAAACATTTAAAAACTTTTCTGAACTTATAATTTTTGTTTTGTAAAGAAATTAAAATGTAGGTACAATTTATATTTGTCAACAGAACTAATCTGAGCATAGGCCTTTTTGAGCAGCAGTTTTTTAAGATTATGAAAAATAATCAAATGTGTCCATACGTTTGATGGTAGTGTATAATAAAACATGGTAGTGTAGTGTAAATAAAACTGATAAACCATATGCATTAAACTCACTGGGTGAACATATCTGGAGTATTTTTCCACCCAGGGCATCTCTCCAGTAGCCGTCATGTGCACAGGTATACACGTCTAATATCAGAGAGAAAAAGATTAAGGCTCCTCCATACTGTAAACCTCCAGTGATGATGGATCTGTTGTACAATGTATTGCTATTCAAACACCACAACTTGCCAATTACCATTTGTTCCTTCCTTCATTGTGTAGAATTCACTGCATGAATACTTGAGCACAGATTTATATGTGGTTGTGGTGAATTTCACACTTGCATTACACACTTCTACAGGATCTCCACAATCAACAACTGCAAAAGAGGGATATTTGGTCATTGACACAGTTTATAGACACAACAAATGACAATGTTGGTGAAACTTAAGCATATCAGTATTTTAATGTCAGGTCAAGTTAAAAAAACAAACAAATTCTGTTTACAGTTAATTTTTGTTACTTTCATTTTGAGTTTAATGTATTTTTCTTTTTTTTTAAAGTCTTTCTATTATTTCTGTTTGTTCTTTCCTCACATTTTAACACTTTTAACCTTGTACACTAAAAGATATGGGAGCGTTTTATGTTGATTGTTACATTGAAAATGTTCATTTGGTTCAACTAAAAGACATTCAGTTCACGTAATTTAACTGAGCCAAAACTGAGAATTTGCAATGCAGCATGTCAACATAAAATTTAGAATTTTGACATCAAAAATATTTTAAAAGTGGTCTATCAGTCCTATACCAGTTGTTTTTGCATACTCCTTTGTTTTTATGAATATTTAATTTAATCATCAATGTTTAAGCACATTTTTCCCTGCAAAATAAGTTACTTAAAAAAGAAGCTAATTTAAATACATACATACGTACATACATAATTCACACCTAAAAAATTTTTACCAATGAGGTAAGAAAAATAATTTCTCTAAAAACAAGTCACATAATTTTGTTTCTGAAGGATTGTTTTTAATTTACTTGCATGATTAGCAAAAATTAAGAAAGGTATTATTATTGTAGTGTTAAAGGGTTAGTTCACCCAAAAATGAAAATTAGCCCACAAATTACTATGGATGGGCGCTTTTTATTTAACTTCTTTTGGACTAATGCATGCAACACCCGCTGAGTGGCATTAAACAGCTTGAAAGATCAAAGGCAATTTTTAATATAACTCCGACTGGATTCGTCTGAAAGAAGAAAGTCATATACACCTAGGATGACTTGAGGGTGAGTAATTTGTGGGCTAATTTTCATTTTTGGGTGAACTAACCCTTCAAGCTTTACTTTGTCAGAAATTTTACCAAATGCATTCTTTTTCATGGAAAACTCCTAATCCTAAATGTATTTAAAATATGCTTTCTGTTATAAGTTTCATCACTATTTCATCACAGAATTATTTTCTGAGTTTGCAGTAAGAATTTCACTCACTTCAACTGAAAATATCACCTCAGGTTTGAAAACGTACCTCCTCTTTGGTACATAACTTACGTAAGTAAACCCCCATTGACGATTATATACACTTCATGCTTATCTGGGATTCTTGAACAACTTACTGATGCAGCGAGGCATCGGTCCATTCCAAAATCCACCCTTCAGGCATGTGGCTTGATAAAAGGGCAAAGCTTCTTCCCCCTAAAGACGCAAAAAGTCACTTTTAAGTCCATAAATAGCATACCAAGCCTCTTTCCTTAAATCTTTGAGAAAGTAAAAGGTTACCAGAATTAATTCATAGCCCAGATCACACGTGACATTGAAAGTGTCCGTCATGATGTACTGAGACTTCTGGGGCTGAATACGTCCATGTTGAGGAGCCACAGGGTTTGGACATGGCTGCGCTATGAGTGCAGAGAACAGTGAGCACTGGTAATGAAAACATACATGCTGGAAAACTTGTCATTTAAATGTTATTCTTAATGCATCATGTACAAAATGTCTTTTCAGCCAGCCATCAGATCTGAATCCCTGCTCCAAAACATTTATTTTCACATTATTCATCATTTTATACTATTTTTTTGCTCAACACTGTGCTTTATAGAAGTAGGCGGGTGCTAAAGAGCTTCATTTGACATGTTGAGATTCTCTGATTGGTGGAGATTTCTGTGCAGAAAAATGTGTAATGTAGTTTTTCTTAGTTTTTGCTTACCAAATAATGGAAGAGAAAAGGGTGTTGTAAACTACCTGTGCTGGTGTACTTGATCTTCCAGCCTTGGTTTTTCCCCGAGTGGTCTGAGCGGAAGGTCACATGCACTTTGTGAGTTCCCGTCTCTATTTTTTTTGGTGGGGTCTTGCCACAAAATGGGCCGTACTCCCTTCCACCTGCAGTGATCTTAAACAAAACAGTTTGAATTGTCAGTGTATACAAATGGCAACAGATAAACAAGTCTCTTGGGAGGTGGGAGGGTGAGGAGAAATAATAGGCGGTTGTGGAGGCCATGAGAGAGCATACATTATGTATTCAACAGCCTTCAGGTCAGTGATTAGTGGAGTAGTCTGACGCTTAACACCAGTGCTGAGAAGACCATAGGCAGCGAGGGGGGGGGAAGCTAAACTGAAAGACTGCAGCTATAACAAGCTGTTAAACGCCATAAAAAGGGATTGGATTTAGCCATTAAGATCAAATGAGCTTTGATGCAGAGTATAGAAATCAGTGCTGAAAGTAAACACTCTTAAACACTTATTATGCTTATTTTCATGGAGAGCCAATCTTATGTGTGTAAACCACTCTAAAATCAATCTTTCTTAACACCTAACAAGGACACTAGAAGGCATATTATATCTCTCTTCAAACAGTACATGTACTGTAAACAATCTTCCTTAAGATAGAATATAGCTCAGTATATATATACACGACTCTTTGTGGGGATTCTATGACACATATAAAATATTTTATTACATTCAATACACATTAATGAGCTAACTGTCTTATAGATCTTTTTGTTGTTGTGTGTAGTTATTCTGCGCTTTAATAGTTGTATTATGTTAAAAATCTGGGTATTTTTATGGTGGGGGTCACACAAAAATCACACTATTAAAAAATTTTTTAAATAGCAAATCTTTAGCATGAATACTTCTCAGACGTTACAAAAAAGCATGAGAACATATGATTGTATTTAATTATGTTAACTGTATTAAACAACCATTCTTAACAATTGTCTTATAAACTGTAAATATTAACAGTATTTTTGTAACATTTTAAAAACCATTTTAAAAACCATTTTAAACAGAAAAGGTGAAAAGCACTTGTTCTGCATGCATTCCTGAAGGTCAGAAATGATCATTTTAGGTCCATGCAGCTGCCTTTAACAATCAATTTAAATTGACTCACAAACATCATAACAATTTTTTTTTTACACATATTCCACAACACATCAGAGTTTTGACACTTAGTTCTCAGGCATGTTCATGACCCTAAATGAGAAAAAGTCACAAAATGTCAAGAAAAACATAGGTTAGCCAGTATTTTCGATGACTCAAACAATTAGTCAAACTGATCCACACCATAACATACAGATAGTTCACCCAAAAATGAAAAATTCTGTCATTCATGTTGTTCCAAACATGTTTCCAACAACATTGGAATGTGAACTGTTCCATATAATCTAAACAAAACCATGTAATGTGTGTCTTTAAATTCTTCTCATAAAGCTTGGTTAACTCTTCAATCCCTGTTTTATCAGGCAGAGGTATAGAGAGTTCCCAAAGGACCCCATTAAAGTGACTCACACATGTGTACACACATACTATTACGGCTGTTGTTTAAAGTTTGAACTACCATCCTAGCTGGAGTGCTGTCAGTGCTTGTTGATTGTGAAATAACCAACCTTGAGGATGTCATAAGGGCAGTGGATTTCAGGATGAGCCTCCACATCAAATACGTCCTGGAAGTCGAGAGTCACTTGGAAGCCTTCCATCAAACTGATAGTGTAATCACACTGGCTCATCTTGGGGTAAACACCTGGGTACTCTGGACTGCTCAGTTCTCCTGACCTCTCCTGAAACACCTGCCCACTACACTCAGCTACAGTGGAAAAAATTCATTTTCACACCCACTGGGAACTGTCAAAAGCACACACACATACGGTTAACAGACAACTATCCATGCCACATTTAACACTGAGGGCCACAGGAAATGCAACATTGATTTGGGATGCTCAGAAGTAAATAAACCTTTCCACCTGTAAAATGGCCAGAGAAATGGCTTTTCGTCACTACTTTCAGAGTGACATTCATGAACAGTTACAAACATTAGATGTGTGGCAATTAGATACTTTGGCAAATACAAACGTTTAAAAACAGTTGTCAGATATAAATAGTCACTGCAGTGCAATTTTCAGGTATAAATTCAGGTTGCTATTATTTTAGCATTTATGCTGTTGACATGAATGAGTGATGTGTGACAAGACAGCAAATAAATGAACATCTTTACTCAAACCTTAACAACTTTAGATGCAAGAATTGCAAGAGGCCTAAGATTATTGCTGTTTATATTCACTGCATGATATTACCAACTAAACTGTGTATTATCAGATGTATTTAGGACTCATGCTATGATCAATTTATGATTAAAAAATCTATTGGTAGTTAATTAAATTTCAGATAGATTAACAAGACATACATATTCAATTGTGCCTGTTTATTTGTGAGCACAGCACTTCTATAAATATAGGAATAGTTCACCCCAAAATGAAAATTCCATCATCAACATCAGGCTGCTGCAAACCTATTTGACTGACTTTCTTTCACGGAACACAAAAGAAGAAATTTTGAAAACGTTCTTGTTTGCTCTTTTCCATGCCATTAAAATTAATGGGGATTGGAGCTTTTAAGCTTTATATATTTATTTTTGCAGATGCTTTTATCCAAAGCAACTTACTCTGGATTCAAGGTACATGTTTATGCTCTACTGTTTAAACTACAGGATGGCTTTAAAGGATGCAAAAGTACAGTAAAAGTTTCAAAATAATCATTTATTATAAAAGCAACATTTACTAAAACACTATTATTCATGGAAACTCTTGACATACACCAAAGCAAATTCATGAAAGAAGCAGTTATGGCTGATTCAGGAACAAATTAATATTTTGATTTAAATCTTTTAAACAAATCAGCTGATTCAGTCTGAATGAATCACTCACGAATTGGCTCAATGATCCAATGGTAGCAGTTCTCAAGTAAATAGCTTACTGGATGGGAAGATTTTCAGTGAATATTTCTCACTCAAAGCTATCAAATGACTTCAGAAGACTTGGAATATCGCATGAATCACATTTAGATCAAATGTATCCTTTTGTGATCCACTAAAGAGAGAAAGCCATACAGGTTTGGAACACTGAGGTTGAGTAAACGATGGCAGAATTTTTATTTTTGGCCAAACTATTAATTTAATAAATGGACCCCAACAAGTGCAGATGCTACAAATAATTGCAATAAATGGGGAATTTCAGCAGAGTAGAGCAAAGGTCTACTAATTCACATGATTAAATGATTCAGACACAAGTCATTGTTTCTGTCTTCCCTTCTGCGCAATATGATGTGATGTCTCTATCTTCCCCATTAGCAAAGTAAAACAATTAAGAGGCATGTCTAGGCTGGTAATTGTGATTAATTACCCACCATTAGCACAGTATACAGCTTGAAACAGGTATCAATTTTCAACTGATCCCTATAATACTGTTCCCTCAGGAACCAATGGTAATTAACCTGGACTCGCTTAGAGTGACAGAGATCAACTGCTTTATACAGGCAGACTAGCGAGACGCTGCCCATTGTATCATCAGTCTGTTGCAGAAGCACGCTTCAGGCTAAAGCCAGTTAGCGCTGTCCAGAACCGCAGTAAACATTAGCACTTTAAATGAGAGGAGGTTTTAGGGACTAATCCATTTCTGCCAAAAGTTTTCACTACCTGAGGGGAAGTCAAAAATGTAAATTTGTCTATTCGAAACCCTACACAAACCTCGCTTAGCCTATATCGAAAAATGCCATGCTGTTAGTTGCAGCCACCCTATTAATGATATAACAAACCTCTATTTGGTGACTCTATTTCCTGCTCGATTATAGGCTATGCTAGCTCAATCAAGAGCTGTTGACAGGGCTGATAGATAGTGTGTGGTGAGCCGTGGCTGCCCAGCCTGCTGCCGTGACCGCCGTTTCAACAGGTCTGTGATGCACAAGAGTCACTACTGGAGCATAAATCAGTATTGAGCTGTATGACAATATTTCCTTAAAATATTATGGTTTGTTAAGAACTTACACAGCTAGAAGTTGTGCTTCTTCAGAATAAACATGATAATGTATTATTATAGATAGGATTACAGACAAAGAGACAGTCTGTTGCTCATATACGCATTTGTTACTGGACATAAATCAAGATCAGTGATAAAAGTATTACAATAAATTGTCACCAATTTAATTAAATTGTGATTATAATAATACGTTTTATTTTTAAAGCGCTTTTCCAAAAGCCCAAGGTCGCTTCACAAAGATTATGCTTTAAAAAGTCTCATGTTTTTCTAAATCCTTCTCATTTCCTTTGTTCTGTGGAACACACTAAATATATATTTTTGAATCCATACAATGAGAGTACATGGAGTCCAATGTTGTTTTTTATTGTATGCAGGGCCATCCTTAGGGGGGTGCAACAGGTGCGGTCGCACCGGGCCCCATGCTTGAGGTGGCCCCGCGGCGAATGCCACAACCACCACTACCCCCCCCCCCGGCGGAACGCGATCACGAATTGACCGAGGGGGGTCAGTTAAGGGCGGCCCTGATTGTATGCACATTGAAACCGTTTTTAAATTTCTTTTTTTTGTGTTCAGAAATAAAGTCATACAAGTTTGGAACAAAACGTGGGTGATTAAATGATGACAAAATTGTGAACTATCCCTTTAAGAGTGCTTTTAGTTGCACAATCAAAGAGTTTTTGTGAATCAGGTAACCAGTAATGGAATCTATGCACAATCACTTTTGTGTTTAGCTTCATTGGCCACCACAATTTCTGATGCAGCACAAGGGCATGTAAACTGTGAGAAAATTAACACAAAATTAAATTTAAAAATGTGAAAAGACAGGACAAAAACAACTCTAAAGGTATTTAAAGCTCTTACTTAAATGTTATGGTTTAATATACTATATAATAATATAATGTAATTATTTGTGATAGACAGCTAATAGAAATATGATGGAAATAGTTTGCTACTACCACAGTTTACTATGTGAGAATACAACAGTTGTAGTGGAAATACATAGGCAGTCAGCATGCATAGAATCCATTGGTCTATCAAAAAACAAAAAGCAATTTTTACTGTGTCTCAGTGCTTAACATGCTATTTATAGTGCATTTATAGTAACTAGCTTTTTTGTGAAAATGAACATGTACAACATATTACATAATGTCCAATACATTTTATAATCAATGAACAGAAAATCTACAGGCCAGGGGTTTCATCTGTTCTGGTATCTGGTATCTTACCAGGGCAGTGTCTTTTATCATCGTGGAGTTGGTATCCCAATCTGCAAGTGCAGTAAAAGCCCCCCACATAATTATGGCAATTATGGTCACACACAGGCTCTCCATCCACAGTGCTCAGGCACTCATCAATGTCTGTAGAGAGTAAAAAGAGGCCATTTAGCAACAGTTCTCACTTATATGGATTTGGGCTTCCACTAAGATTAACACATCTATGATAAAATGGTGTGTGTATATATATATATATATATATATATATATATAATCTATTTAATTTTAGAATATACAATATTATAAACATTATAAAAAGTAAATATTAGATTTTTTTAATATCATATTACATTTATTTATTTTATATCTAGTTTAAACCTTAGCCTTTACAGCAAGAGGTGACAGCAAAAGAGAGGAACAATCATGCCGTGAGAGAGACAGTCATGCTGTAAATCCATTGTTTCCATCACCTTCGGCGGAAAAAAATGCCTGGAAGCCTGTGAATCGGTCCTCGTTGGAGTAATCTGATCTGAAGAGCACGGACATGGTGTTGGTGGCAGAATAGATGATGGTGTTTTTGGGCGCATCACCGTAATTTTTCTCTGCCTCACCACAGAACCGGACTGTGTCATTTCCTTCTGAGAACACCTGGAAAGTTTCAGCAAGTAGTACTTATTACAAGCACAAATTGGTATCCATGCTAGGAACTTCATTAGGAACTATGCAGCAGTCATATTGTGCGTTTCATTTCATGATAGAGAGGTTAAATCAAATGTTTAACATGAGTATTCTGATATAATCTGGCAAATGGTGCAGTTTAATGATAAAGCTCTAATCTTAAATTTACATTATACCACCTTTGTGAACTTATGGATCAAGAAAATATACATATTTACATAAAAAATACAAGCTGATTTTGAAATGATTGTAGGCTCTTAGGGGGAATTATTTTAATCTGAAAAGGACTGAACATTACTAATAAGGTTAAACCTTGTTGACGTTTCAATCAATCATCTAACAGATTCCGGATTGAAGTCTGACTTGGATTTGCATGGGCAAAGAATGCATTAAAGTTTTTCTCATTTAAAACAGCAGTTCTCTTTATTCCATTCCAAGACATCTCCCAACTTCGTTTTAAAGTACATTTATTATAAGTAATTATTTTAATTTATTTAAGTATATCTAATTAAATTATAAAATTATAATTAAATTATATAAATATAAAAAAAATATTATTTGTTTTGTAAACATAAGGAAATTCTTTTCCCACAGGTAGTATGAATATAATAGAAGCTTGATGGCATCGATTGCAGATTCACTTATGATTTCATTGAATTACTATCCGAGATATCCTGAAATATAAAGTCTAATCTAGAACCGTAACTCATGCACTTTGATATGTATATATTCCCCCATAAAATTACCCCATGTTTTAAGGTCTGTTGCAGCTATGGATCTAACCTGAACGTAGTCATATTCGCAGCGATGAGAAGGCTCCAGGTTAAAATATGTGAAGTAGAGGCGTAATCTGTGTCCCTCTGGTCCTGTGATATTCCACACCATACGCTGGTTGTTAGGATAGACATTTGGGAAGTTTGGTGAGGTGAAGCTTCCAAATAGTCCTGTCAGCTGTGAGCCAAATGCTAATGGAAGCAGGGTGACGAATGCCAAAGACACTCTAAAACAGCAGCAAAACAAAAAGGTGATAACGTATTAAAGCTTTCACAATCCCAACACATTAAACCGAAACATGGGGGAAACTGTTCCCACTCCACAGTGAACACATTCGAACACTTTGCATACCTGTTCATTATTCCAGAACGCCGCAAACTTCAGTTCATCTCACAACAAATGTCCTAATCACCTCTGCAGAACTCTAATGTCCTCCAGGTTAATGAACTAGCTGAATAAATGGCTCTGTGCAAACACAGCACTGAACAGCAACAGTGCTTTTGGTTTTCATCACTGTCTACTCTGTCAAATGTCAGTATCAACTATTGAATTAAAGACATATCAGTAGAGAAGTTAACCTTTGTCATCATGCTTGTCATCTCCTTTATTCTCCTTAAAAACTAGATTTACAATACAACATACAAAAAAAAAAGAAAGCAGTAATCACATTTACATTTGATTAATTAAACATTTGATTAATCCTGGCATTTATGTTGACTATAAAAGTCAGAATTAACTTACAGTAAATGAAAGCGACTGACAGCAAATGAACTCTTGTTTTTGCAATGTGTCCTTCTGACCAGTCATCAATAATTGATTTTTGTGTGTGTGTGTGTGTGTGTGTGTGTGTGTGTGTGTGTGTGTACATGCAGATACAACTTTGGTTTGTAGAAAAAAAAAGTGTTTGTTTCAAAAGTGTATGTTTATTTAAATATACAGAGGGGTCCAAAGTCTGATACCACATGAAAAATTCAACTTAAATAAATAAAATTAAAGATTTTAAAAGTGGTTAAACAAAGGTCTCTAATCAGATAAATCGAGTAAATGTGTGACACTGAGCATGTGGACTAAAAGATCTTCTAAATTGTATTTTAATCATTTAATTAAGCTTTTCACTTTTCAAATTACTATGCTAATAATATTATATATATCACAGACCTCACTGTACATTTTGGATATTGATAAACAGATTTCAGACACACAGAATCATTGTAATATTACAAACTTAACAGGCAACCACAATCCAGTAACACTGAGATGACAGGATATTCATAAGGACAAAAATAATCGTGGCATAGACACCAAAAAAAAAAAACCCCGTCATCCTAACTGCTGAAAAATGGACCAAAATTAATATTATAAAATTACTTTTTTGACACCAATTGTTGATCACTTTTGGCCGTGTTGTGATAATGACTAAGAGACGTAACATTGCAAATGTATGAAAGGCAAAAGTAGAATAGTCACACTAGTATGGAAAAGTTCCATTACAGCTCTATGACATTTTCAGACATATGAACTGCGATGTGCCACAGGCAGATGTTTGTGATGAAAAAACAACAGGTGACACTGAAAGCCTGTCGCCGTCGCATGTGCCAATTACCTTGAGAGCAGAATTAATTTGAAATGCCTTTGTAATGCTACAGTCCCTTTCATTTAAACCTTTTGGCACAGAATGAGATGGTTATTTAATGATTTAAAAAAAATAGTGAGAAAAAGAGAGAGAGAAAGAGAAAGTGGGTGAGCAAGGGAGAGAGAGACAGAATGAATAAAACGACAAATGTTCCATAAGCAAGCTTATAATAGACCCCTCACTTCCAATACACTACGCTGGTAATGCTTGATGTATGAGGAGATTACAATAATTATCCTCATAAACGACAATGGTAATTTCCAGCTGCACATACCCATGCTGATTGTGGCTGTCAGGTGTAATGCGCTGACCTCTGTCATCATGCCTGCTTGAGAGGTCACAGTTTGTTAGGACACAGCTGAAATGATTCTTAAAGAAGAAACAATCATTCACACTGGCTTATCAAACCCTCTTGAGTACTCTGACTGGAAACCTCTGAAGGCATCTGGGTATCTGCATGTTTTAAAGAAAAAGATTTATGACTTTTTAATGCAAATTGAAAAAATTAAGAGCAATTATTAGCTTAAATGGGTGTTTTTTTTGTTTTTTTTTCAAAAGAACAATAAGTTGAACAAACAAACAAAACAAAGTGGAGTGAAATGATGTAATGCAAGAATTAATATTCAATTAAAATATATTTATATAAGAAGACATGTTTTCACTTGGATATATATATATATACAGTGCCTTGCGAAGTATTCAAACCCCTTCATTTTTTTCACGTTTTGTTATGTTGCAGCCTTATGATAAACTGCTTTAAATTACTTTTTTCCACATCAATCTACACTCCATACACCACAATGACAACAGGTTTTTAACATCTTTGCAAATTTATTAAAGATAAAAAACTTAAATGATTCCATTGCATAAGTATTCATACCCTTATCTGGGACAGTTGAAATTTAGCTGAGGAGCATTCATTTTGCTTGTAAATGTTACCACACTTTGAGTGAAGCTAACCTGTGGCCAATTCAATTGAATGGGTATGATTTGGAAAAGCACACATGACTTAATAAAAGGTCTCACAGCTGAAAATGCATATTAGAGCAAAGACCAAGCCCTGAGGTAAAAAAAAAAAAACTGCCTGTAGAGCTCAGAGACAGGATTGTATCAAACCACACATCTGGGGAGGAGTTCAAAAAACAATTCTGCTGCATTGAAGGTTCACAGAAGCATGTAGCCTCCATTATCCATAATGGAAGACGTTTGGAACAACCAGGACTCTGAGCTGGCCTCCTGGCCAAACTGACCAATTGATGGAGAAGGGCTTTGGTTAGACTCGTGACCAAGAACCTGATGGTCATTCTAGTTGAGCTCCATGATCATATGTGGAGATAGCAGAAACCTACAGAACGACAAACATCGCTGCAACACTCCACCAATCTGTGCTTTATGTTGGTGTGGCTAGACTCAATCCTCTCCTCAGTGAAGACACATGAAAACACACTTGGAATTTGCAAAAAACCACCTAAAGGACCCTCAGACTCTGAGAAACAAGAGTCTCTGGTCTGATGAACCTCAATTCCAAGCATCATGTTTGAAGGAAACCAGCAATCAAATATTTCTGGAGAAAGCTGAAAATGTGTGTCTGCCCCCATCCAACCTGACAGAGCTTGAGAGGTGAACAGGTGAGGTGAAGAATGGCAGATAATTGCCAAATGCTGATGTGCAAAGCTTGTCGCATCATACCCAAAAATACTTGAAGCTGTAAAGGTGCTTCAGCTAAGTACTGAGTTACTTATGCAATGTACTTATTTCAGTTGTTTTAATTTTTTTTATAAATGTACAAAGTTGTGACAGTTCTGTTTTTGCTTTGCCATTATGGTGTATGGAGTGTAGATTGATGTGGGAAAAAAGTAATTTAAAGCAGTTTAACATAAGGCTGCTTCATGACAAAACGTGAAAAAAATGAAGGGGTTTGAATACTTTCGCAAGGCACTGTATATATATATATATAGCCTATTCAAAAACGTTTTTCTTTTTTTTTTGTATAAAAGCTGTATTAAAAAGCTTGAAAGCTGTATTTAAGGCATTTTAATACTTTTTAAGAACCCACAGAATTTTTTTTTTTTTTCAGACAATTCTAGGTAAGTTTTAATCAGCTGCAGGGCCGTAGCTGGGGTTGAAATTTTTTAAATAGCACAAACAAATAAATAGAACAAAGATACAAATTAAACAATGTTTAAGTTTTTTTTTTTCAAGTTTGTAGGTGTCCAGGTACAGAAACCAAATAATCAAATGTAAAATATCATTGTAGTCAATAGACTTCACTGTATAAATTAAATATATATATTAATTCTTGTTAAAACTACAAAGTAATTAAGTAAAGAGCAGTGAGTGATTTTCTCTCATTTAATTTCTTAGATTAACATTAAGGACATCTACACCAGCTAGTAAATTAGGTGTATTAGGTACAGTACATCCAATATAATGATACACATCCAATTTCTTTCTCAACTGTTTACATTCACTTAAGACACAACCAAATGTGGTATTTTTTTTTTTTTGAGGATACTCGCCAAGACGGGTATTTCGACATAATATATTTGTCAGTTCAAGAGCAAGAAGAAGCAAAACTCAATTAGTTGAACAAGGGCTGTAACACACGGCTTTCTGTGTGCGCGCTGTGCACACAGAACACAGCATGCGGGTGCTAAATCAAGCTTTTTGCGTCTGTTTGTATGTTAAAACTGGTGAGGTGTATTTGTTCAGGCACAGGTGGACGCGAAGGAGAGCTCGGTTCGGTGTTTGCACGCTGTCTGTGAGACACAGAACACGGTCTCTGTGTGCGCACCGAACACGGCGCACAAGTACTCAGTTGAGTTCTTTCGCATCTTGTGCTTGAATGCTTTAAACTCTTTTGAATGTTTAAATTGGCAGGTCTTAAAAGCACATGCAATTGATAAGCATACGTGATGATGTGCAACAGTGGCCTGTCAACTGTCCTGAGCATCTTTTCAACTAAGCGTCCTCGGCCACTTGGTTGAAATCGCCGGGGGTCCCCCCTCAGCCGTGGGCCCCTATAATCGTCACCACCTTTCACTCCAGTAGCGATGGCCCTGATCAGCTGTACTAATAAAACTTCTACTATAATAAATAATTTGAAAATGTATTTTGTATGTTGCGCGCAATGCATAGTTTCATTCAAATGGCTGTCAATGCATTTTTGGTTCCAAATGGTATAGTTACAGCATCTACTAGCAGTCAAACTGATGTATACTAACCAGCCAAATCTTGACCCCTTGGAAAACATGTTACATCTAACTTGATATCACTTTGTAAATCCACATGTAATTCAGGCCAGGCTACCTTTAGACATATAAAAACATGGTTTTCCTAAAGGTGTGCTGTGCATTTCAAACAAAACAAATATATTGTTTATATAAGTGCTGTAAATGGAATCTGTCAATTTCTAACAATGCAAAGCCTGTTTTTACTATCTGTACATTTGCTAATAATAAAACATTTTATATAATAATGAGATAAATGTTTAGACAGTGCCAGTTGATGTTATTGACAACAACCGAATCCAGTGAATTAAATAATCACTACACATTCATTTACTCGTAAGTGACTCTACGTCAGAGACCAGATAATTGTCAGTGCATCAGCAAGTGCTAAGGTCATGTCTAATTCGAACACCGTTTAGAGCTCTTTACTTCCTTTTATAAGTATAGATGAAGTTCATTTTGAAAAGATGAGTCACTCTTCAACAGTGTTGGGGAGTAACTAGTTACATGTAACGGCGTTACGTAATTTAATTACAAAATAAATGTAACTGTAATCAGTTACAGTTACTAAGAAAAAATGTGTAATTAAATTACAGTTACTTATGAAAATGTTAACGATTACAAAGGGGATTA